CTGCGCCACCAGGGAGGGCCTATTATTCGTTTTTTATAGTCTCTTGATTAAAGATAAAAAAAGACATAAATACTTTATACTTTGTCATTTGGGATGAGTATCTTCCTAAATGTTATACTCTTTCCTTCCTGTTTTAAAGAATGAAGTCAATATTTGTTGTTCCCAGATCTCGGTTGGTAGGTTTATATACATAGAAACCCCAAATAAATGACAAATGATTCAAATTCATAAGGAAGTAAGGCAAGCAAAAGTTGTACAAGAGCTTTCTTATATTAAGCTCAAATGTTATAGTCCAAATAAGAACATGACAATTGGTACATGATGAAGTAAGGGGCTGGCCCCCACAGACAGTTTTCTGTTGAGGATTGTTTTCTACACTTCTCCCTGAGTGCATAAAAGTGTCTCCAGTAAATTAGACCAAGCTGCTTCCCTGAAACACTATGGGAGCCAAGGTTGTTGAAGGTGAGATCAAATCATCCCAGTCACCAGGCAGCTGACTAGGTGAAAAGATGAGTCCTGCTGACTGCAGACATCCCGTTGGCAAAACTGTTATTCTGTCCATGCCTCAGCCACTCCATCCACATTGTGAAATATCTCGAGCGAATTAGTGTTGGAGAACATCAGATGCAGAGGCAGACACAAGCAAATCTAAATTAGAATAGAATTGCTGAGGCCTAGCTGGAGACAAGCCTGGCTGGGACAAAGACAAGTTTGCACTGAGCCTGACAGGTCCAAAATCCAGATGGAGTTTGAGCTGCCCAACAGCCAACCCCCAGCTTCAATGTTATTTATGTATCATGTGAACCTCAATTCTGGACAGTAACCTTTGTCAAGTCCCTATAAGACTGGAGCCCCATGCTGCATGGGAGGTGACACCAGCCATGTCCACTGGGGATGCCACAGCTTATACCAAGTTCCTGTTTCTCCTTGAATGGCCAGCGTCCTTGGTCCAGCCTTGCCTTAACCCGTCAGTTAATCCATGATAGCCACCTTTGACGCATGTTGGCCTAGACATTTACTCTCCCTTAGTCTCCACAAAAGGCTTATGAATGAATGAACATCAGTCAACTAGATCACGTCACCAAAATCTGTTTTTAACCAGATCTTTTGTTTTTGCACTAAATCTTTGCAGAAAGAGATGTATGTCAAAATTGAAATTAGGAATTTGGACTCTGAGTCTGTGCTTGGAGCTCAGCAGAGATTTCATCATTGTTGGCACACAATTCAATTTGAATTGATCTTGACACATTACAATAGTTTCAATCAACAGAGGAAGATTCAATAACCTTAACCATATTGTACTTACTAAGGCAGAAAAGTAGACTCATACATTATAAAGATTGCCAGTAACAAGGTTGAAACAAAAAGAGGGGTTTGGGTTCACCCTCAGCAAACCAGAAAATTAAATTACCCAGTAGCTCTCCCTCCCACAGTGCTCTGGGTAATTGAGGCTTATTGTATTAGGAAATATTTAAACTTACATGTATCTTTATAGAAAGAAATAACCACTGCCAAGGAGTTCAGTTTGTAGTATAAAATTATATCTTCATTTCTACCACCCAGGGCACATTATTGAGTAATCTCATTGTTTTCACTGCAGATGAATAGGATGTTTCAGAGTTAAACTTTATAATTCAGGTGCTAGAGTTCTGACAGATCATCTCAGCTTTGTTTCTGTTTTCCTCTTCTGGTGATGATTGGTGGGGAGGAGAAAGGAAAAGTAGGTGGGGGGAAATGTGGATCTCATATTATGTAATAATAAAATATTAATAGAACATTTGGATGATAGTTCATTTTGGTAGATTTTCTTGGTCAATAGATTTAAGTACTGTTAAACAAAAAAAGAAGGGTGTAGGGTGGGATACAAGGAACAACAGTCCCAAAAAGGGTTTATACTGAGCCCCACTAAGACTTAACTATCCAATCTAACTGTAGTTTCTGCCAGCTCCCAAAAAGTAGAAATTTAAATTAGCCCATTTGGAGTGTCCTGGTCAGCACTACCCAGGTATTCCGCATAAGACAACTCCCTGCTCTCCTAATGGAACTTGGCTTAGCCAGAAATAATCCTTTTTTTCTCTTGCTAATAACATGCCCCACCCTCTTTGTGATTATAAAAGCTTCCATTTTGAACAGCTTCTTGCAGTGCCTTTCTATTTACTTGATGGGATTCTCCCCAGTCATGAATTGTTTAATAAAGCCAACTTCATCTTTCAAATTAACTCAATTAGGTTTTTATTTTACAAATACCTTTTTAAAATAATTAGCACATTTCTAGGCCCTTAGCGGAAAACATAGTAGCTGTTCTTAATTAACTGACAACCTATATTTAGAGTTGAGGTGGGCATAAATAAAACAATCAGGAGATAATATTAAACAACATACAATTAAAAAGTAGGCTGTGGTGTATGGAGGAAAGTAGTAAAGGAATTACAAGTGAAAGAAATTTGGGAATATATTAGAATAGTTCTGAGAAGTGGGTGTTAAGCTTGTCCTATGGCTTTATCAGCAAGTGGTAAGCTCCTCCTGATACAGGTGTTATGCTGGTCTAGAAGATCTCAGGTGTGTGCTCTGAAGATTTATATACAATGAGGAGCAGGAGGGAAAGAAGGCATTTACTTGGAGGGCAGACCTTGGGGAATATTGAGAAATAAAATCCAAATGGTAAGGTGAATTCAGTGGAAAGAACTTAACAATTGATACCTCATGCATTCAGTTGAAAATATTGGTTGAATGCATGTTATATTTTGCCGGAATTTCATGTTTCCAGGGCAAGTTCCCCAGACAGCAGTTGACTCCAGGCTGCAGGGGCAATGCACCCAGCCACTGGGTGACCATGAGTTGGTGTCTCAGTAAGCTGCAGCAGGAACTTTGCTGCAGACTCTCAGGCAGGCAAGTGAAAGAGGCAAATTTGTTTAGAGAGGTAGGCATAAGGAAAAGCTTATTAAGGTGGAAAAGTACAGAACAAAGATTCCAGGGCCTGCAGACGAGGCCAGGGATGGGAAAGGAAGCCCAAATGAAATCATGCCTGGTGGAATATACACCTTCCTTCCCTAATTATTCTAAAGCCCCATCAGTCTCTGTGATGGGTTGGTTCAGTGGTCTCCTTCTGCCTTATCTCAGGCCTTATCTTAGATTCCTTTTTCTTACTTTCTTTATTCACCAGGCATGTCTTACTGCCCATAATGAGGGGGTGAGGAGGGGGTGGGGGGGAAGTGTTGATTAATCTCCTTGGGAATTTGTTGCCCTAATCCCTGGAGACTTCACTGTACCTACTAGGCTTCTCCTGTTCCATTCTGACCGTAGAAGCTGACCCCCTTGCCCTGTGATTCAATATGACAGTCTCAGAATAACAGTATAAGCAAAACAAAAATATGTTTCTGGTAGAGGAAAGAATAGAAAACCTAAAGGAGACATCACAAGGCCAGAACCTAACTTATACAAGGAGCTGGGAGTAGAAGAGATTAGCATGGCCATGACCCAGCTATAGAAACTAAAATCCTTAGATGCCAATGCCTGGATCTCAAGGCACAAGACCCAGGCATGTATCAAACTGTAGGGAGTGTCAGGCACACAGACGACACAGACCTGAAGGTGAAGATATGGAGATTGAGGGCCACCCTGGATTTATATGGCCCCTTTCACATTCCACATAGTTTATTCAAAGTCAACAATAAATGAACCACTCCCTGAAGGAGTGAGCCTCTCACAAAGAGAAGAAGGCAATGTTCCATTGAGGAGTTTTAAGCACATAGTATCACGATCAGAAGTATATTTTGGAAAAATCACTGTGACTATGGAGAATCAATTGGACCAAAAATAATGAGAATGTGAGGTGATAGATTATTATATTAGTCATAGTGGAGTAGCTGTGACTCTAATGCAAAGAGAAGAAAGAGTAAAAATTCAAAAAATACTTATGAGTTAAAACTTAAAAACTTAGGCTTGGAGTTAGGAGCAAGGAAGAGAACGTAACAAGGATGGTCCTCAGGTTCTAACTTGGCAAACGAAAATATTGCCTTTGTAGAAAGAGGGTCAGGTCTTGTTTGTCTTTGGGGAGTTTTTGGGAAATAGTTATTGATCTTGTTTTGGCACCTATTGAATTTGAGATGTCTTTCAAACTTGTAATTGGAAATGTCATGGTGGTAGCTAACTATATGGAGTGTATGTTATTGAATCCTTAGGTAATGGATAAAAATATTCTTGGGAGAAAATAGAAGACCTTAGCATTACTAATGACTAGTGACTGGGCATAAGAAAATGAGCAAAGCAAACAGAGATGGAGATGACAAATGTAAAGCATAAAAGTTGGGGTCAAAGTTGAGAGAAGAGAGAACCGTTGGTGCCACGGTTAGTACCAAGATGATACTACTGTTAAAAACAGGCCAACAGGAGCTTTTCCTTAGTTTCTCATGAGCAATTAATATGGCCTAATTAGGAAGGCATAAATCATGTTCCAAGGTTTTGGAACATTAATGTGTATGATGACAAATGTCTAAAATGCTATGTAACTGAATAGCTATATTACTAGGAAGTAGACAGGCATGGGGTAGAAGATAAGGACAGATTGGTTTAGTGTCTACAATGATCAAATTTTTAATTATTGTTCTCTACTAGGCTGTATTTTCTTGACTAATTGATGAAATCCCTAATAATTTTTACAACTTTGATCAGAGATGGCTAGAGGAGCTCTTTCTCTTTTAAAAAAAGATTTATTTATTTGTGCATACAGAACCGGGGGTACAGGCCAGAGGTGCAGGGGTGGTGAGAGGATTCACCAGAGACAAAGACAGAGACCCAGAGGATTCTGGAAAGCAGAACAGGCAGATCGAAAAGTACACTGCTGAAGGGAGCAGCAGGCGGGCCAGGAGAGGTCTGCTGTTCCATGTGGATCACCTCCCAGGCAGGCGGGGATCGAATTCATGCTGAAGTGGCTTTAGCTTCTCAGTGCTTTGCTTTAGCCCACTGCGCCACCAGGGAGGGCCAAGGAGCTCCTTTAATACAATGCTAGAGCATTGTTGACTTGTCTGTCATTCTAGAGATGATTTCATGTGGCAGAGCAAGACAAGGAAATGATCAGAAAAGAACTAAAGCCTACATAACACAAAAGACTGTGTAGTAATGCCTAGGTATCTTATGAAAATAATAATTAACCTCTTAGAGAATGGCCCTTTTCATTGCTTCATTTATAATGTCACTTACTCTTAATATTTTGCCCCAAATATGGAGCTTAAGTGATTAAGCTGATTAAGTATTCATTGCTTGAGTTGCCTTGAATAAAATAAAAAATAATGTGAAGAATTTAGACAATCTATCAATAGATTAAAAGTCAAGTTTTAGGTCCAAAGAAGTCTTTTGTATAGCAAACATGGAGTCTTTGTACTTTAAGCCTCAATCTCCTATGGTATCTTTCTGATCCAAGAAGTGCTTTGGCTCTTCTGGGAAAAAGTAACATACTCTTTGAGGATAATATTCTCTGTTGATGTGGTTCATTTCACTTTCTTATTTAGGTAGTATATATTATGGGACCAGACTCTCTAGTTTAGACGTCTTGTCTCTCTAGTTTAGACGTACTTTCTCTCTGTATGCTTTGGGGTAAGAAAAAAATTTTTTTAAAGATACATTTATTTATGCATACAAGAACTGGGGTACAGGCCAGAGGTGCACAGTATGAGAGGATTCCCCAGAGACAGAGTGGGGAGCAAAGCAGGCAGATGGACTGAAATACACTGCTGAGGGGAGCAGCTGGCCAGTCAGGAGAGGTCTGCCGCATCATGTGGGTCTCCTCCCTGACTGGAGTGGCCCTGATAGCTTCATAGTGCTGCACTTAAACCCGTTGTCTCACCAGGGAGGGCCGAGGGCAAATTTTCTAACCTTTGTTTTTCTCATTTATCTGTTAAATGGAGATACTTATAATAGCTATTTTAATTTTTATGTGATAAGAGAGTTATTTGGGCTATGAAGTTATAATAAGACTTAGACTAGCAGGTGTTTGATAACTATTAGTTATTATTTAAACCATCATTTAAAAAATGTTTTAAATATTTTTATTGCCGTAAACTTGGTTTGCATTGCTGTTTATATTTTGAGAGTTTAGGATCCCATCTTTTGGTGTTATTACCCTAATGCCCTCGCCAGTTACTCAGTCCATTGTGCTCCCTTACCAAAGACCATAATTTTAAATATTTTGTTAAAATAAATTTTATGTAATTGAAGCACACTTTTTTTTTTTTAACTCAAATTGAAACTGAGTTGCAATCGATCAGGAAGAATTTAAACAGATATTTTAAAGAAGTTAGGCTAAGTCATTACATTTGGATATGAACAAATGATGCAATTACAGATGCATTTTACTAAATGGTGTTTATGAGCTTCACACCCTGGTGATCCCTCATGCTGTGGAATTTGATTCATTTTTGGTCCCCTCATTATTTATGTTATATCTGTCCTTTCCTCATCTGTCTTGTACTTTGCAGTCGGATACTTCCGGAGACTATGAAGCCACACTCTTAAAGATCTGCGGAGGCGATGACTGAGTCATGAACATAATCACCAAGGTTCTTACTCCCATGATGGGCTTTTCCATCAGCTCTGTTTACTTCAATCTCACAGTACTGGAGAATGTAAGCAAGTGTAATGAGTAACCTGTTTTCCTAACAGAAATGTTCCTTGTTCCATAACAAAGTAATAAAAAGTGATCATTTGAAAGTATCCCTTAATGATAGTTTATAAATGAAATTCTAAAATGCTATCAAGAATCTGCTAATACTATCCAAATTATATTTCTGTTTCAAAAGTGAAAACCATATATAGTTGTGAAACATTAAGTGCAAAAACAGATAATAAAGTTGTTGCCCTTTTTCCAGGTGATATGTCTGTTTTTAACAGCTACCAGCATTGCTTGGTACCTCGTGCTAACAACTTGTGATATTTTAAAACACATTTTTCTTATAAAGTTATTGCTCTTTCAATTTAATATCTATTACTTTACTGATCACATTTATCTTTCAAAAGGAATAAAAATGAAGTGGCATTTTGTAATCCTGGCTTGCCCTTTCTAGTTGTGATCAAGCTATAGAAGTGACTATGCCTGATAAGTTATGGTAGACTTCACAAAACATCTGCTGCTGCTGGACAATTTATCTAATCACTTCCTGTCTGAATGGCAGGCCTGAATTGTGGCTGTTTCATGCTAAATTTTACTTTCCCAGAATGGGTATTTAGAATCAAGTCTCTGAAGTTTCCTTTTCCTCCAAGATAAGTTTTCAAAACTATGCATTAAAAATACCCTTTGTGCTGTCTTTGAAAAGGACTTAACATGCAGTATCTTGACAAATATTATGTACAGGAGGTAAAAAATTCCAGTTGAAGTCAGCAGGCCGGACTAAAGTAGAAATGATCATACTGTAACAGTGGTGTGTGAGTCCAGCTTTTAATTAATACATTCCACTGGTGAACACTTTTGAGAACTTTCAGAAAGAGAGAAGTTATTTTCTTGTTTGGGGGTTTCCAAAATACATATGGAACTCAAGTACAGGAATGTTGAGTCTCAACACAGCTGGTTTTGATTTTCTTCCCCTATCATTTACTATTCTGTGACCCTGGCGACTACTAAGTCCTGCTAAACCAAAGTTTCTCATCTATAAAATAGTGATAATTATAATAACCTACCTTTCTTGGTGGGTTTTTAGATAAAAAGTAAGATAGTGCTTGTGAAGCACTTAGCCCTGTGTCTGTACATTGCAAGCATTTGATCCAATGTATCATTATTACCAAGCAACATCAAAATTATCAGCAGTGCAGCCATTCTTCAACAGACTTCTTTTCATTTACCACATACAAGTCCTGTGACTACTAAGTATGAATGTACCAAGGGGACAAAGGTGCATTTCCTTTTGCTAAAGCACGTAAGATCTGAACCAAGTTTAGAAAAACAAACGGCAAATAAAGATCACATAGTAGCTACCATGTATCAGGAAAATATCTTTGAGACAGAGATAAAAGGGTACAGAAATGGGATCAGAAATTCAGTCTATTAAAGATAGCAGATTCCACCAGTAAGACAAAAGAGAGTCGCTCCAGACAGGTAAGAAGTCACAGAGTTGTTAACTAACACTGTTTGGACAAGCTATACCAAAGTTTAGTGACTTAGAGTAGAAAGGGACACTGGGGTGGAATTGGTGACAGAACAGGGGACATATCATGGAGGTCTCATATGCCATATATGATTTCAACACATTTTCTCCCCTCCCCCACCATCAAACACTTGAATACCAGCAGAGTGTCCTACAATTCAACTCAATTCTGACACTCTCTACCTGTAGACAGCACCAGAGTCACAGGCTAAGTGTCAGTTCCACAAACTGCTCCTCCACTGAGATGACAATGAAAGGTACAGGTTGCCACTGACCAGCTATAGATCAGATATTCTCATTGACCCCTACATGGATTATATTGATTTGCGAGAATAGCTTACAGCATTCAGAGAAACATTTTACTTATTAGGTTATCACTTTATTATGAAAAGATATAATTCAGAAACTGCCAGGTAAAAGAAATACGTAGGTCAAGATAGGTGGGAAGGAGCCCACCACTTCCCAAATTTCCATGTGTTCAATCTGGAAGCTCTCCAAAACCCATCTTTTGGATTTCTAGGGAAACTTCATTGCAGAGGCATGATTGATCAAATCTTTGGCTTTTGGTGATTGGATTCAATCTCCAGTCCTGTCTCTTCCCAGGTAGAGAGATGGGGCTGAAATTTCCAATACTTTAATCACTTAGGTGCGTTGCAAAAATAACATCATTAACATAATGAAGGAAACCACTTTCTCTTCACAGGAAATTTCAAGGGTATTAGGAGCTCCATTTGGAAAAGGAATGAAAACCAAACCAAATGTGTGTGTGTGTATTTGTATATATGTATTATATGGATATATATTATTGCATGTAATACATTATTATTATTATTATAAATCACAATATAACGCTATGCTAAAAAGTTTATAAGCAAGGGAGAGTCATGGAGAGAGAAATCCACGAACATTTCAACCAGGGAAATGATGTGATCAAATTTTTGACAAAGCATTTTATTTTGATTAAGACTACATGGAAGAAGAAACCTTTCCAGACTTAGAAAAAGGAACTAATATCATTGCACTATGGACAGTCTTGAAGGAAAGTTCAGAATTTTTACCTAAATACATAGTATTTTTTTCAGCATACCTATCACCATGGAGAAAAGCAAGCCAGGGTTTTTGATTTCTAAAGAAGCGTTAAGTTCATATACTTATAAGCTCTCCTTTATTTAACATCAAACTAACCCCCTGAAATGGCACTACAAGATTTAATTTTGGCCAAAGTCATGGAGAAGGAATCTCTACTCCCTGTGGATTTTGATAACTTCTTTCCTTTAGAAAAATAAATTGTTCCACTAAAGTTCTTCCACATACATTTTTTTCTTTCATTCCTTAATTCCATTTTGCCTCTTGCATTCATCATTTTGGGTATATATTTCTATAACATAGCATGTGCTTTGAAACCACCCTCCAATATGAACACTGCAGACAGAGTTGGGAGGAGAACAGGCAGATCTACTGAAATACACTGCTGAGGGAACAGCAGATGAGAGGAGAGATTTTCTGCACCATGTAGATTAGCTCCCCAGCCAGGGATTGAACTCATTCTGCAGTGGATGGTATTAGCTTAGCTTGATAGCACTGAGACTTAACCCCTATACCACCAGGAAGGCCCCCTTGTTTAATGTTATTTTGTTAACTGATACCTTATCATTGAAGGGAAGCATAGTTTTATCTGACTTCCTACCCACTGTGTTTCATTGATGATACCCTATGCACAGAAGTAACCTTGATCGCCAGCCTCTAAGGAGCAAAGTATAATGGGAAAAAAACACTAAAATGTGGGAAATTGGTTTTTCTAAGCTTTCCAAGAGATGTTTTCTCTTGTTATATATAGAATAGGAAAAAAATCATTACAGCATTGTGAATATCCAGGTATACATTATATATCTCTAAATCCCTGGCTCAACTCTGATTCATAGATTCACAGTAAATTTTAATGACAATGACTTGTACCCCTGTTTGGCAGACCTTTCCAAACACTTTTACCAGGTTGTTAAAGGGAACACAGAAAGTAATGATTGGAGTTACTTTGAAAAAGTAATTCAAATGTCATGTATATATAATTGATATTAGGATCATCTATTTTTGTTTTATGTTTAAGGGAAGAGAATAAATGTCCCCTTACCCCTCAGGGTTCTTCTGGGACTAGTTGAGCCAACAAATTAACTTCAGACAGATTAGTAGGAGGAGAGAACAAATTTAATTAAACACATATGGAGAATTTACATGAATGTAAATTTCTAAAAAGTTTTATTTATACATATAAGATCTGGGGTACAGAGGTGGGGGGTACAGAGTATTGGGTTACAGAGGTGTGGGGGTGTGAAAGAATTCACGAGACAGAGTGGGATCAGAATAGGCAGATCAACAGAAATACACTGCTGAGGGGAGCAGTAGGCGAGACAGGAGAGGTCTGCTGTGCCATATGGGTCACCTCCCTGGCCAGGAATCTAACTCATGCTGCAGTGGCTATGGATCGCTTCATAGTGCTCTGCTTTAACTGCTTGCACCACCAGGAAAGGCCCCCTGCATGAATATAAATTATAAAATAAATGGGAGCAAAATGAGAGGGCATGTCCTAAGCTAAAGAATGAGCAAAGAACTTGAGTCTTAAAGGAAAGGGAAGAGTCACTAACATGATGAAAGAATTAAATGCTCTGTCCTTTCATGTTTTCCCAGCTATCTAGATAAGTTTCTTAGAAAAGTTACTTGTGGTGGGCCCTTCCTGGTGGCGCAGTGGGTTGGGGCGCAGCCACTTCAATGAGAGCTCGATTCCCGCCCCAGAGGTGACTCACATGTCCGCCGCAGATATCTCCTGTCTTGCCAGCTGCTCCCCTCAGCAATGTACTTCATTGAGCTATCTGTTCTGCTCCCACTCTGTCTCTGGTGAATCCCTGCTGCACCTCTGGCCTGTACCCAGTTCTGTATGCATAAATAATAAATAAATCTTTAAAAAAAGAAAGAAAAGTTATATGTGGAAATAACTCTAAAGTTGGTTAAAATACCCAATTTTCATTCTTCTAGGTAGTTAAAGGAGTGTTTTAAAAGTTTCTCTTGAGGGACTTCCCTGGTGGCACAAGGGTTAAAGTCTCAGGGCTAGCAATATAAAGAGATCTACCTCAGGCAGGGAGCTGACACACAAAGCCCAGCAGCAGACCTCTTCTGTCTCACCTGCTGCTCCCCTCAGCAGTGTATTTCAGTGGATCTGCCTGTTCTGCTCCCACTCTTTTCTCCAGTGAAGCTTCTTATGCCCCCCTACCCCCATATACACACCTCTGGCCTATACCCCAGTTCTTGTATGTGTAACTAAATAAAATAAATCTTGAAAAAATAAAATAAAATTTTCTCTTGAGAATGCAGGGCCTTGATTAATCATAGCTTACAGCTAAAGTGACATGACTTGGGGATACTCATCCTGAACATCCTGGGGAGCTCCATTCTGAACACCTTGGGGAGGGCCCTCCCTGGTGGTGCAGCAGGTTAAAGCATAGCACTAAGAAGCTAAAGCCACTTCAGCATGAGTTCGATCCCTGCCCTGGGGGTGACCCACATGTGCAGCAGACTTCTCCTGACCCACCCTCAGCTCCCCTCAGCAGTGTACTTCTTCAGTCTGTCTGTTCTGCTCCCCACTCTATCTCTGGTGAATCCTCTCACTGCCCCTGTGCCTCTGACCTATACCCCAGTTCTA